CAAACACCTGTTTTAAGATCTGCCCAGCTTCAGTAGATAGCTCTGTCCTAGGACAGACAGACATCTGTGTTAAGACCTGCCCAGACCCAGCAGGCCCTGCCCTGGGACAGACAGACAGACACCCATTTCAAGATTTCCTCAGCTCCAGTAGCCCTGCTCTGGGACAGACAGACAGACAGACCCGCCCAGCCCCAGCAGGCCCTGCCATGGGACAGACTGACAGACAGCCATTATAAGATCTCCCCAGCCCCAGCAGGCTCTGCCCCAAGATTCGTGATTCGGCTCAGGATTCCTGACGGAGCAGCCACAGATCATGGTGCCTGGGCCGGTCTCCCCGGCAGCCAGAAGGGCCCCGTGATTTCCGGGGAAAGGCCTGCCCTGGCTGCTGGCCCAGGCTGCTTCCCAGCTGGACCCCTGCCCATCCCTCACCTGGCTCTCTGTGTCCTGAGGACCTTGCCAGGCCATCTGTCCAGCCCCCCATTGACCTCTGCAGAGACTGGGCTCTGGGCTGGGAGAGAGCTGGGTTCAGAAGCCCAAACAAAGGAGGGCCCCTCAATGCTGCAGGCTCACAGGTCGCTGACCCCATCTGGGCCCGAGGTGTTGCTTCTTTCCCTGCATTGTGAGAGCAGGACCCTTTATTGGGTGTCCAGATGGGCTCAGGACACCCCAGTCAAAGTCCTGATGGGTGGAGTCCCCATGTCACTTTCCCACTCCCCAAAATCAGAGGGGGCTTCCTAGTCTTCCCTGTTCATCTGCACTGTGTTCCTGGCAGGCAGGGCCAGGTCCTCCTTGCTGCCCTAGAGGAAGAGTGGGCAGAGGACCAGACCAGGAGGGCTCAACCAGGAAGGATCCAGCAGCTCAGACGGCCACCTCAACCTGAGAACAGGGAGTCAGTGCTCCACCCAGCACTCAGTTCTCCAGCCACCAGCCCACTGCCAACACAACGCTGAGCCCAGACCCCTTGGAAATCTGGTAGGACTGGTGACGTCCCCGCCGCCCAGCACTGGGCCCACATCAGCCCTGAGCTCAGCCCACTCCCAGGTGTTGGAGACCAGGCTCCCAGCTCACACACCCACCCCCTGCACCTCAGTCCCTGCATCTGTGAAGTGGGAAGCAGTCACTGAGTCATGCCAGGTCAGAGGTGGGTGAAGGTGTCCCATCATGGCCAGTGGTTGTCACTGCTGTTGGTCAACAAGGGGTCCAGCTCACCACCACAAGAACCTCAGTGCCATGAGGGCCCTGCCCCAGCCCCATGTGAGGGCTTGTATCCAGAATCCTGCTCTTCTCCATTGGCCCAGCGGCCTCTGCTCCAACCATCCTTGGGGACGAGGCTGTGGGCACGCCTGAGGGCTCAGCAGGGAGGAAGGGTCAGTACAAGCAGGGCAGCAAGCGGCTCAGGGCTGTGTCCCGACAGAGAAGACCTCAGGCCCGGGCCGAGTGACTGCCATGGCTGCTAGAACAGCCGGCGTCTGCTTAGTGATTATGCCGGCCCCAAAGTCTTGCTGCTGCAGGCCGCCACCTTCTCTGTCGGAGATAGGTGCTGTGAGCTGAACTCACACCCTGCCAGGCCCCAGGCCCAATCCCTCCCAGGCCCCTTGTTCCCCTTCCGGTCAATGTGACAGAAGCCCGCCTGGGAAACAGCTCCGGTGGCGGTGGCGTCTGAGCGGGAAAGTTCACGCTGTTCCTCAGGAAGGCTCCAGGAGAGAAGTTGGCTCTTTGTCCGGTAGCCCAGTAACGAGAAAACCCTCACGCGTCAAAGAGAGCAGCTGCAGGCCCCCTCCCTTTGCTACCGCCACCCTGCACACAGCAACCAGTGCGCTGTGGGGGCTTCGGGCTGCTTCCCACACCCCCGCCCCCAGGCTGGACAGACCTACACTCCTCTCAGCAGGACAAGAGGCTTCCCACGGCCCCTGCCACAGCACAGCTGCTCTGCTCCGGGGGCTGCCAGCTGAGACGTGCGCTTTCAGAAGCCCAGGTCAGGGAGCCCTGCTGCCCTCAAGCTGAGGGGCCCTTCCGCCCAGTCCCACCTGCCCCCACGGTCCATACGGAGTTAAAATGGGCAGTGCCACCCAGCCTGGTCCCTCCAAGCTCGGAGGTCACACTTGGCCCTGGGTCATTGGCAATGGGACTCCCACATCTACCCCCCCTACCTAGTAACCCCAAAGTCCGCACAACCAAACTGAAGTCCCCACCATCCCAGAGCACTGCCTTCTGTCATTCGTGGCACTCCAAAACTCAGGGTTGGCCGGGGCTCATGCCTGTTCCTTACTCCACGTCCTGGCCCTCATGCCTGTCCCCCGCCCCTGTCCCTCATGCCCGTCCCTCACTCCCCGTCCCTCATGCCCGTCCCTCACTCCCGTCCCTCATGCCTGTCCCTCACTCCCCTCCCTGTCCCTCATGCCTGTCCCTCACTCCACCACCCCCGTCCCTCATGCCTGTCCCTCACTCCCGTCCCTCATGCCTGTCCCTCACTCCCGTCCCTCATGCCTGTCCCTCATGCCTGTCCCTCACTCCCATCCCTCATGCCTGTCCCTCACTCCCCATCCCTCATGCCTGTTCCTCACTCCCCATCCCTCCTGCCAGCTGCTCAGGGCCCCTCCTTCTCATTTGCTTCAGGCCTCCACGGCACATAGTGGCCTCCTAAGGGATGACTGGAGCTCTGGTGGCCTAGTGCCTAAGGCATTTGACTGCTAACCAGAAGGCTGGTGGTTCAAACCCAACAGCCACTCCTTGGAAGGAAGCTTGGGCAATCTACTTCCATAGAGATACCGCCTCAGAAATCCAAGGAGGGGTTGCTATGAGTCAAATCAACTCAACGGCAGTGAGTTTGGGTTGTTTTTTTTTTTGAAGGATCCGTGCCACTGAGGGGAACCTCCTGCTAAAGGCCTGCAGTGGCTCCCTACTGTCAGGCGGGGTCTTGGGGCCTCTTGGCCTCAGGCAGTGGCCCCACCTCTCCCTCCGGGCTTATGTGCTGCCAACGCACCCCCACGGAAGCCCTGAAGGCCGTTCTGTGCCACCTCCCCATGGGCTCCTGCCCTTGACACTGCCCCAGGGAGCTCCTGGAGGCATCTTTCTTCAGAGGTACGGCTCTCAGGAGCTCATGGGGCAGGACATCAAAGCCTGCACAGCCACCAAGGCCCAAGGTGCTCATGGCATCCTTCCTGGGCCTCTGGGTCACAATGAAGCAGCGGTGTCAGCTGCCCAGCTGAGCCCTCAGCACCCCAGCCAGTACACAGACAACAAAACACATACCTCCTTTTCAAGATAGAGACCCAGAGCCCATCGGCCACCTTGGCGAAGGGACCACTCTGCCTGGGAGAACTCTGGCTGCAACCTTTGCTCAGCTGGTCCTCCTGGGTGGGCAGTGGGCTTGGGAAGGATCGGAGCTGGGACGCCAGGACAGAATGCAAACTTGGCTGAGAGACATTCAAGTTCTCTAACAAAGCCCCGCACTGCACACAAGGCCTGGGAGACACAGGCCAGCCCGGGGTTCTCCGGCTCTTCACTCCCCCTTCTCACCAGGCCAGGGAGAGCCAGGCTGCCTCTTCCAGCCCTAGCTGTGCCAGAGGCAGGAGGGCGCCACTCACACACACGGGACCAGGTGCTCACACCCCGTCATTGCAAACTCACACGCGGCCCAGGGGGTGTCAGGGCTCAGGAACCATCCACAGGCACCAACGCAGTCTGGGCGCACCCTCCTCCGCACACGCTCAGGGCCACACCAGACTTCGGACACTGCGCCCCAGGCACAGCAGTGGCTTTTGCGACCGCACCCACCGAGACTTGCTGAGTGCAGGCCGGGCTCACCGGGCACCCACTGCGCGAAGTGCGAGTTCCCGGGCGCCGAGGAGAAGGCCCGCTCAGAGGCTAGGACGACAGGAGGGTCCCGGCGTCCCCGCAGCGCCTCCACCTGCCCGCGCCTTTTGTTGGGCGCCGCCTCCTCCCGGCACCTGTCCCCGCCGCTCGGGACTCCGCAGGCACACACACCCGGAGGGGCGATCGGGGTCGGCACCGGGCGCGGCGGAAGGCCGGCGCGGGACCCAGCGGGGCGATCCGGGGAATGAGGGGCCCGAGGGCGGTCGGAGCCACTCACCAGCTGGAGAGCGCAGAGGAAGAAGAGCGCGCAGCGGCCAGTACTGCAGCCCATGATGCCCTCGGCGCCCCTCTGC